CTGGTATTTATTGTGGACATTGTTCAGTATCTAAGTGGGAGATTGTTTCTTAGTGCATATGTATACGTGTGTCTCTTTTTTAACAGATGAATAGTATTCCATTATATCATCTATTAATGGAGATTGATGATGTTTTTGGTATTAAAAACAATGCTTCAGTCATTAACCTTGTATATATATCATTTTGCACATGCTTCAGTACAGGGTTTCTCATCCTCAGCACTAGTGACATTTGGGGCTGGATAATTCTTTAAAAAATTTTTTTCATTTATTCATTCATTTATTTTGGAGCAAGGGGGAGGGATGGAGAAAGAGGGAGAGAAACATCAATGTGAGCTGTTGCCTCTTATGCTCTCCAGCCGGGGACCAAAGCCATAGCCAGGCATGATGCCCAAACAACTGAGCCATAAAGGTCAGGGCAAGGGGCTGGATAATCCTTTGTTGTAGGAGCCGGCCTGTACATTATAGGATGTTTGGTACAGCCCTACCCTCCACACACTGCGAACCAGTAGCACCGCATCCCAAGCTGTGACAACGAAAAATCCCTGCAGGTGATACCAAATGTTCCACAATGGAGTGAAGAAATCAGTCCTGGTTGAGAACCACTGTTCTAATTTATCTTCACAATAAACTTTTAGAAGTAGAATTGCTGGAACTAAGGTTATGTATGTGCATTTAAAATTTTGATGGTGATTGCAAATTGTTCCTCATAGATGTACCATTTTTTACTCTAACCAACAGTAATTGAGAGTATGTTCTCATTTTGGCAATACTGTTGTTGATAAAAAAAAAGTTTCTCCTGCCATCTTGAAGTAGTTTTAATTTGTATTTCTGTACTTTACATCTGACCTTTTTACTAAGCACTTAGTGCTTGCTAGGCATGCAGTATTTTTTGGCTTGCGTCTTTTGTGACAAACTTTGAAATGACTTCCTCTCTATTTAGCCCTCTTAAACTTTGATACCAAGAACTGAAGACAGTACTCTGGATTTCTTCTGATCATAATGAAATGATAACCACACCATCCACACCATTTATTGAGATCTCATATATGACAGACATTGTGCTTTAAAAATGCATTATCCCTGTGTAACCTAAGCATTTATTTGTAATAAAATGCCATACCTTTTTCCTTTTGAGTTGATGTGTGGAATCTCTCTGGACAGTTTGGTAGTCATGGTCTCCTGAAGTAGAATGTGTCACAAAGCTAGCTGAAAAGAAGTATTTGATTTTGCAGTTAGAAATCATAATTGTCCAGCCTTGTAGTTTGGTCAGAATTGGTTTAGATACCCCAACTTAAATTTGTAAGTTCCCCCTGTTATTCACTCTTGCAGGAGGACTCTCTTCCTTGCTAATCATCGTTGTATGAAATTATAACTTCATGTATGCTTACTTGCTTAATACTTGTCTCTAGGCATATTTGTTCTCCACTAAGTATCTAACACCTAACTTAATGTGTGGCATACAGTATGTGCCCAGTAAGTATCTGTTAAATGCATGAACTAGTCAGTCTGAGAACTCAGGTACCCTGGGGGCCTAAAAGCCCTCCATTGCCCAGAGGGTTGAAGAACTTAGCTTAACAATGGGCTCTGTCACATTCCTAGACTGAAGCCATCTTCTCTCTTAAAAGGGTCAGAACTAGCTGGTTCTTATGGTTTTCTCTGGACCATTTGACCTGTTGGGGGAACTTTGGTTTGGCTGGAAGCTGTGGAAGAGAATGAATGCATGTTCCTTGGAGTTATTTATGTCTTCCCCTGCCTCATGCTTAAGGAGGCACGGTTATATTTACTTGAGACAAAGTGATATTCTCTCCTAAATGAGCAGTTATTTAGAAATTGTGGTGTGATTGAGTTCTGATGTGAGCAATTTTCTGATATTTCCAGAAATCAAAGTCTGTGTTAAGGGGGCTTTAAGGTACGGTTATTGATACGTCTGGCTTTAATGACTGCTTTGCTCATCCAGCAAGATGTTTGGAACCCTACTTGATAACTGTAACTTGTTTGTTTTTTCCTCTATTACTAAAAATAAATATGAGGATGGTTTAGTGTTGGCCAGATAACTTGTTTGGCTAGTTTTACTGTTCTCTGTTCTGGAGTCTGGCACTGGTGAACAGGAATGCAGGCGTGGGGTGGGACAGCAAGGGGCAGGGGGTTCACTGCCTTTCTGAGGAGGAAGAGCAGCTGGATCAGCAAACTCTTTTGTAGAGGATCAGATAGTAAATATTTTAGGCTTTTCAGTCCTGATCTCTGTCACATATTATTGTTTGTTTTTACAACTCTTTAAAGATATAAAAACCATCCCTATGTCGTGAACCTTATAAAAACAGGCCACAGCCAGATTTGGCCCAGAGATCATGATGGTTTGCCAACCATAAACTATGTGAAGAAATTAGTTGATTGCTTAGAAGTGTTTACTTTAATGTTTTGGGGATACGAACCTAGCATAATTTTGGAAATTCTCAGATGATTGTGATCCAAAGAAACGCTGGCATGGGAAGTCAGAGTGACCCTACTGTCAGTCACTTCGGGTCCGTTGAACTCAGGGTACCCTTGGCCAGTGTGACAGCAGCTGTCAAGTGGGATCGTGCTGCCTCTTTCCCATGGGAGTGCTGGCCACAGGTAACTGGGATGGAAGAAAGGAGCCAAGCTGTGGCCCAAGAATTAGGCTGGAATTTGACAGGTTTAAGGAATACAGTGACTCAGCAAATTAAGTTGTCTCAGAAATACATCTAATTTCCTGAACCTCTGTGGAGATGTAGTTAGAAATCTGGCATGTATAATCAGTTTGGCTAGTTTATAAAAATGAAAACAGGTTTGTACCTTGGATTCTGAGAATTGGATTCTGAGAACATCGTCAAATTCTGATACATGAGCTCAGATTTGCCTTGCGGTTTTTCTGTGATCACGAGAAGTTCCAGAGAGCAGGACTGGCATGAGGAAGTGTTCATGGGTTTCAGGGTAGTCTGGCAGATAAGAGAGCACGGTGGTTAAAGAGACAGATACACTTGTCCAAATTCCTACTCTACTGCTTATACTAGCTGTACGATCCTGGGTAACTTACTTCATTTTTTTCTCTACGCTTCAGTTTTCTCACCCATAAATTGCACTGATGATAATAACTCCACCATAGGGTTGTGAGAATTAAGTGAGGATAGTATATATAGAATGCTTATTATATTAGCTCAATGTCCATCATGTTGTTAGTACTCGATAAGTGTAGCAATAATAATAGTAATGTGAAAGTGGAAGATGTTGAGGATCAGATACAGGAACTAGTATTTGTGACTTGGTGTCACTGAACTATCCTATCTTTTAATCATTAGATGTTTGGGAATATAGTGGGAGCAGTAGTGGGTTAGGAGTCAGAAGAACTAGGTATGTGTCTACCTTGCTTGATTTGCTAATGGTAAAATGGAAATAATATGTGTTGACAGGTTGTGACATGGTATATGAAAAGGCTTTGAGTTCTATAAAGCATTGTACAAAATTTAAGGTAAAGTCAGTAAACTTTTTATTTATTCCTGACCTTCTTCATGTATTGGAATAGAGCCAGAAGTTGATATGTGTGAAGCCAAAATGCTTGTCAGCGGAACTTATTGGGGATGCTTCCAAGTTCAGGACTTGCATTGATAAATTGTGATTAGGGATGAATAATATAAAACTTGAGCACTTTTGTAAGATATTTGAAATAGTGGAATTTTAAAAGGGAGTGGCTATATTAAGTGAAAGAAGCCAATCTAAAAAGGCTATGTACTGCATGATTCCAACTATATTCTGGAAAAAGGTTAGTAAATAGATTATTGATTACCAGGGGTTGGGGCCAGGGGAGGATGAATAATCAGAGCACAGGATTTTTAGAGCAGCGAAAATATTCTGTATAGTACTGTAATGATGGGTATACATGTCATTATACCTTTGTCCAAACCCATAGAATGTACACCAAGAGTGAATCATAATGTAAACTACGGACTTTGGGTGATTATGATGTGTTAATGTAGATTCATAAATTGTAACAAATGTACCTCTGTGGTGAGGGATATTGATAAGGGGTGAGGCTGTTACATATGTTGTGCGAAGGGAAATAAAAGAAATCTCTGTACCTCCTTAATTTTGTTGTGAACCCAAAACTGCTCTAAAAAGTAGTCTTAAAAAAAAATAAATAAAGAGAGTGGCTAGTGTGGAGAAATAGGGTGGAAGAGTTTAATCTCTGTAGAAAATGTGACAATATCTTGTAAAATTAAAACTATGTATTTCCTTTTCCCGTGTAATTCCCTTTCTAGAACTTTATCCTGAAAGTATATTTGCCTGTTCATTTTGTGTGTACATGGTTATTCATTACATTATTTACAACAACGTAAAAATGGAAGCATTGGTGTTCAGCCTCAGAAAACCAGTTAACTCAATCATGGTACATTCTTGGTTAAAAACTATGTACCTATAAAAAGTGAGGGATCTAGGTATGTGCTGATTAAACACTCTTCCATGATATGTTAAGCTAAAAATAAAACACAAAGCAAGGTGAATAACAATGTTCATAGTATGCTGTCATTATTGTTGCCAGATTGCAGGGTGGGGAACAGAAAAGATCAATTATGATTTACTTGTATAAGCATAGGATAGTGGGAAGACTATGAAGCTGGTAATAATGACTGTACCTAAGACAAGAACTCTGGGTAGCTGGGGGACAGGTAAGAGAGAAACATACTTTTCACAGTATACCCTCTTTATCTTTCAAATGTGTCTTATATTCATAGATTTATATTTATATAGCCTGAGCAGCCACAGATCATACCACTGGAGTTGAAAACTGTATGAACCTCTGTGTGTTTTCCTCCCCCATTTGTGTCTGCTACCTGTTGCTCTGCCAGTCTCCTTGACCTTGATAATTTGAGAAGCTGACACAGACTCAGGGCTTACCCTAAAACAGTCCTCTGCCCCCAAAGCATATTGATGTTTGTCCTCTTGATTTCTGTGACTGACGGTGTTTCTGTTTGCACCTCCAGCTTTGGCAGCATGTAAGCTACTTCTTGCCAAGAACTCAGGTCACCACTGAGAAAGAGGACCTTAGAGAGAAGAATATCCAGAGGAAGCCAATGCCAGGAGCGTCTGGAATTACACTCACCGCAGGCAGTATGAGACTTTCTGTGCCAGCGTCTGTGTCCTACTGGCAAAGACTGTAGCTCTCCAGGTAGGAGGGTCCTGGGAGCAGCGTGCACCAGGAAGCCTCTCTAGAGGAAGAATGGGGCCAGATATGAACTCTCTACAATGAACACAATTTTCAGCTTATGAAGGAATTTTAAGTAAAACCATTATTTAATTTCTACATATCCAAGTTCAGGAGCCTTCTGTGTGAAGTGCCAGCAGTCACCACCCCCTACACAGGAGTTAATCAGTACTTTTCTGGCACCAAGTTGAACTCTTCTTGGTATTTCTGGCAATGACAGATCTTCAAGACAGATTTATCTGCTAAATGCTCTTGGTCAGGAAAATAAAGTAAAATTTCTGGAAGCCGTGTAAGGGTAGCAGAGCAGAGGTCCCTCCCTCACTGCCCATTCACAGAAAGGCAGCCTGGACTCGAATGCTCCTAGTGAAGATTGATCCTGCCTTGTTCACCTCGAAAGTCCACCTGCTCCAGGAGATCTGGTGTTTTCAGGCTGCCTGCTGTCTGGGGCTGTTTTTGCTATCATCCTACTCCCAAGCCACTGAACGATGTGAACTTTGGAATGGAGTCTGCTTTCTGCTGGGAACTCGCTTCCTTCCCCAGGCTGGTACTGTCTTGAGAGGGCCATCTGAAGCCTGTGCTTTGTTCCTGGGGAGGAGGCATTGGCCTGGCCTGGATCCTCCACCATGTTCCTGTTGCTGCCTTTTGATAGCCTGATTGTCAACCTCCTGGGCATCTCCCTGACTGTCCTCTTCACCCTCCTTCTTGTTTTCATCATAGTCCCTGCTATTTTTGGAGTCTCCTTTGGTATTCGAAAGCTCTACATGAAAACTTTGTTAAAAATTTTTGCGGTGAGTTGTGCTGTTTACGAATGGTTGCTTCATAGAGGAGGAGAAGAGTTGTTCTTCTCTGATTGATTGTTACCTCTTTATTGGATATGGGGAAAGTTGGGAGAATGGGAAGTGGCATTTTGAGTAAAAAGAATAACTAAATGTGTACTTGTGAAAGCCTTTAGCAGTCTTTCTTTTGAGCTGAGGTACTTGCATGGTTGATTCACCTCAGCAAAGGCACCTATTTATCCCATAGGTTGGCTCTATACCTTCCATCTCTATTTCAAGGAGAGGGGCTTAAAATTGAAGAAGAAAAATCACCAACAGACCCCCCCCCTTTTTATGTAATAGATACTGAGACACAAAGCCACTGCTGAAACAGTTCCTCTGATAAGTGTGGGAGAGGTTTATTCCCTCTCCTTCCAACGTTTATCTTAAATAAGTTCTTGCATTTCAGGCAAAAATAATTAACAGAAAAAGGGCATTTGATGAATTGTTTTATTTTTTTAAAGATAAGAAAGATGGATAATAAATTTCTTAACATATGTCAGAACCTAATTAATTACACTGCTGAACCAAACTGGTCATAATGTAAAAGAGACGGGTGAGAAGTGTATTTCCTGGAAGATGTTCTGTGCCTCGAGGCTTTTAACATCTATCCAAAGATTTGGTAATTTGTTAACAATATCTGTTTTCATCATCACCAAATCTTTAGATATTTTTGAAACAGTACAGTGTTATTTGTTCATAAAGTATTTAATGGTTCACAAAATAATTTTATTCATTTTCCTTTGGTTCCTTATAATTCTGTAGTAGACAGGGCACCTACATTTTATCAATGAAGTAAAGACTCAGAAGGATGTATGAAATGTTATACTATAGTGGGAAATTTTTTTTAGTATACCATTGAATATTTTGCTATTATTTCTAAAAAAAATTATTTTACATTTCTAAAAATTGAGGTGAACTTGACATAAAGTTAACTATTTTAAGGTGAAAGATTTAGTGGCCTTTACTGTATTTACAATGTTATATATCCACCAACTCTACCTAGTTCCAAACATTTTCATCACTCCAAAAGGAAACCCCATACTTAAACAGTTGACCCCCATTTTCCCCTCCCTCAACTCCTTCCAACAAGGAAGGGGTCTGTTCTCTCTCTGGATTTACCTATTCTGGATAATTCATGTAAATAGAATCACATAAAATGTGCTTTTTTGGTGCCTGACTGGCTTCATTCATTTAGCATAAAGTTTTTGGGACTCATCCACATTGTAACATGTTTCAGTACTTTTTTTAATAGCTGAATATTATTTTATCGTGTGTCTGTACCATAATTTGCTTATCTATTGATGGACTGTTTTCACCCTCTGGCTGTTGTCAGTAGTGCTGCTTGTATGCGTGCACTTGTTTGAGTACCTGTTTTCAGTCGTTTTTGAGCACGATTTACAGTCTCCTGGATTATCTAGTTCCTTGCTACTCAGGGAGAGGTCTGGAGACCAGCAGCATGAGTACACTTAAGAGCTGGTTAGAAATGGAGGTCTCAGGTCCACTCCAGACCTACTGAATTATAATTTGCATTTCAATAAGATCTGGGTGATTCATATGCACATCAAAGTTTGAGAAGTAATCTAATCAGTCTTTGGACTAGTTACTTTGTTAATGTATAGTGTTTATTTTAATTAATCAGGAAATCTAATTTTCTTAAATTTCAGTCCAAGAAAATCTTCAGTAGATCCCAGGGTTCCTGTAGACCATATACCTTAACTACCCATGGCTTTTGTCACTGTGAAAGAAACATACATCAGTATAGAATCAGTAGAACAGCTGGTAAACTTTTAGGAGACAACAGTGAGTAATATCTAGCTTTTTAGTCAAGGGTATAAGCAAGTGATTAATTCATAGACCTACAGAAATCCTTATTTTTTTAAAAAAAGATTTTATATATTTATTTTTAGAGAGAGGGGAAGCGAGGGAGAAAGAGAGAGAGAGAGAAATATTGATGTGAGAGAGAAACATTGATCGGCTGCCCCCAGCTGGGGACCTGGCCCTCAACCCTGAGTGGGAGTTGAACCGGAAACCTTTGGGTTTGTAGGCCAGCACTCAGTGCACTGAGACAAACCAGCCACCATGGAAATCCTCATTTTTTAAAACATAGAAATAGGAGTTAACAACCTAGGATTCTTCTGTAGTAGCTAAAATTTTTTAACTTGGATCATTTTGGGTGGGACAGAGGCCTGGAGTCCATGTATACTCGCAACTCCATTTTGAAAAAATCCCCCAAATTAATATTTTAAAGTCCATAGGCAGCTAAATCCTTCTTATTGTGACTGTAGTTTTAAATGTACGTTCTTGTGACTTTTAGGGTAGATTATAATTAACAGTGGAAACTTCATTAAATATATATTGTTGGGCCAATCCACAGGACAGGTAATCTTAAGCCATCAGAGACTCTGCTGATCACATCATGAAAATCACTGGTTTGGGGCACAGTGGTTTAGAAGTGATAATGGAAGAGCGTGTGTGCGCGCGCGCGCACGTACTCACACTCATTTTTTACCTCAAAATTTAGAATTTCAAGAACTAGATTTCCACCTCTTATTTCCTAGCGGTGTGTATCAAGCGTTCAGCAGGCCCTATGACTTCTATCCTGTTGAGCATTATGAATAATGACTACATGGTGACAACCCTCTGGTAAAGGGTTACTGCTCTGAGTAGATCATAATGGACAGTAAGAACTGAATGCTATTTTTTATCGGTACTAGTATTAGATATAAGCTGGATTTGGCCAAGCTGGTTTTAGATCTTGGAAAGCATACATCTATATATCTATATATACATTTAAAATAATACACCTATACTTGTGGGTTTTCTTTAATAGAAAACATACCTATTTTGCCTTTTTTAAAGCCTCTTCAGCCCCTCCTAAATTGGGTTGACATTTATAATTTTGCATCTGGAAGAAAGCTCAGAGATCATCTTAATTCTGTGGATCTCTCTCCCCCAACTACACATTTAGATCACCTGAGAAAGCATTTTAAAAGTATGTGGGAGCACTAGAATCTCCCCAGAGGTTCTGATTTAATTGGTCTGGGTGGGCATTTTTTAAAACTCAAGTGATGCCTCTGTCTGCCATCAAAAGATGGAGCCTGATTGACTTGAATGGCAACCTGCCTTATGAGTTGCTCACAAATAGAATGTGGTGTATGTGATGCTGTGTGACATGTGAGGTTAGGAATAAAAAGGCAGTGTAACTGCTGTCTGACTCCTGGGATGCTTGCCCCTGGGACTCAGACCCCATGTTGTGAGGAAGCCCAGGCCACTCGTAGGTGAGCCAGCTCACAGCCCCAGGGAGGCCCTGGCAGCCGTGCTGCATGCAGGAATGAGCAGGCCTCTGGAGGGGTCCATCCCCTAGTGTTTGAGCCACCCAGCTGATACCAAACTCTGCAATTTGCAGATTCCTGAGCAAAACGAATGATGGTAGTGTTTTAAGCTACTGAGTTATGGGGTGATATGTTATGTAACAATAGATAACCAGGCAATATAATATTAAAGAATTTTAAGCATTCATTCAGGTCCTCCAACTTAAAACACCTTAAAATTTTTTGGGATTACCTTTCAGTCTTTGACAGTATACATTCATATTGTATGGTTGTGTGAATAGCACATAGGTCCAATTTTGTATCTATTTTTATCAGCCATTTTTGCATTGTACTAGATAATCTTCATAAAGATTATTAAAACTGAATAGTCCATATACCTGTGCTTTTGGCGGACCTAAGTAAGCGCTGGCTTAACAACTAGTTTCCCACGATTAGTTCCTTTTTCTGTGTAAAAGAACCTTGGTATAATACCTGCCAAGGAGAGGCTATAAAGGGAATATGTGTGGGTCAGTGTCTTTTCCCTTCTGGAAGATTTAACTCAGTGCAGGTCCTATTAATGCTGAGTCACGGAAAATCTTTACATGCAGAGGGCAGCATGTTATTTAAAGTGTTTTAGTTTTCTTAATGTTTGGGCTTCAGATTTACCCTCAAGACAGTGGTCATAGTATTACTTGGAGTAGACTTCCTAAGAGTGAACTTCAAACTGAGTTGAGAATGATTTCAGAAGTCAGAGAGAAGAAAGCCTAGTTATAAAGGACCAAAATGAAAATAAATGGCCTGAGTTTTCTTGCCTGATGTGAAAAGTGCCGGTCAGGCCAGGTTAGAGAACATGGGAGAGTTGTAATCTGATTGATTGATATTGAACTCCAAAGCAGACTTGATTGGTGGAAAGTCTTTGAAACTATGAAGAAACTGAATGGACTGCACAGGTGGTGGGAATGTGGTGGGCTGGGCATGAGTTTTTGAGTCCAGTGGCCCTCAGCTTTAAATCCAGGGCTTTTCCTGCCATCTCCAAAACTTGACCTAAATTGGCAGACTTTGCAGTCTGCTTACTCATCTAGAGAGTGGGAATAGTAATACCTGTATCACATGATTATAAGTGAAAGAGGTAATTTTCATCAGATATGTCCTTCTGACCCTCGTGAGAAGGGTGATTTTAATATAACCTTGAGTAGCTTACAAGACAAAATCAAGAAGATGAGAATGATTGTGACGGAGAAGGGGATTGGAAGTAGTTTTAGGTTTTATCGTTTCAGATTTATCTTTTCATGTGGACTTTGAGTTGGTTAATTAAATGTAGCACTTACTGACTGCCTATTTAAGTACAAGGCACTTTATCAGACTATGCTGGAATGCAAATATGGATAGGTTCTGGCTACTACTCGTCAAGGTATTTATAATCTAGTCAGAACAACAAATAGATGCTTACATAACTGGTTCAAAATGTATTAGTTAAAATAGACAAAGATTCATTTTGACTGCAAGAATTGGGTAGATAACATTTCATGTAAGAGTTGGCATTTGAACTGGATCTTAAAGAGCAAAAATTAGCCCTGGCTGGTGTGGCTCAGTGGATTGAGCACTGGCCTTCAAACTGAAAGGTCCGCTGGTTCATTTCCCAGTCAGGGCACGTGCTGCATTGTGGGCCAGGTCCCCCGTAAGGGGTGCTCTAGAGGCAACCACACATTGATGTTTCTCTCCCCCTCTGTCTCCCTCCCTTCCCATCTCTCTAAAAATAATTAAAATCTTTTTTTTTTTTAAGCATAAATCATTCTAGAAGTGCAGATGAGAAAGTACAGTCTGGTTTAGAGACAGTATGTAGTTCTGTAGAGCAAAAACATTGGGTGGGTACGTGGAGAGAATGAGGTACACTGTAAAGTCAAATATTTCCTTAGGTGTTGAGAAGCCATTAGAGGTTTTGAGCAAGGAAGTGACATGGTCAGACTGGTGGCATCATCTGTTTGGATGGATTGGAGGAAGGAAAGAACAGTCTTTAAAGAGCTGTTGCATTAGTAGTGTGGGCAAGAGAAGCAGCAGTGAACGAAGGCAGTGGCATGATGGAAGAGGCCGCTGCGAAAGACAGCCAGTTCAGAGGGAGATTGATAGGAGTTGTTGACAGGTGGGAGGCCTGAAAGCTTGGATGGCAGGGTGATAGTGATCTGAGCACCACAAGAGGATGGCCAGAGGCGGGGTTCACACTGTGGGTTGGAAGAAGATATGCTGCCTTTAAATCTCAACCTGCTGGATGGTGAGGGCTAGTTGGACTTGGTGTGGAGATGATCAGCCCGTGACTGGAAAAGTGAGGATGGCACTTTTGTAAAGTCAAGATTCCTAGATTTGGCAGTAGCTTCTTAGACATTATAGTTGAAGCAGGGAGAGAAAAAAAGAGAGTTGTTAAAAGATGCAGCTTTTGCCTGGGACATAGAAGGTCATGGTTCATGGGAACTGGGTTTTTTTAAGGGTCCGATTCTTTGGGTATATCTGGTTAGTTGATGGGAAAATGCAATGGAAGCTGACTGAAAAGGTGGTTTCTGCTGAGATTCGTGTTGCTAAGACTGTTAGACCTTAATCATATGATTAGTTCTCTGTCTGGTAGAAGCTGAAAAGGGAACAATTTCATAACCTGATACTGACAGTGTAGTAAATTGCATCTCACAGGGTGAGTGAGAGGAGGTTTATAGGGAAGTGAACTCTGAACCTAGGATTCTCAGTTTTACTCTGGATATCTGAGCACTGTACTTAAAAGGACAGCGCAGAGAAGCCCCCTGTGCAGTTATCAGACGTGACTAACGTGCAGCGCCCCCCCCCCCCCGGCCCCCCTCCGCTTTCACTCAGTCCTCTTCACCTCCTCACGAGGGCGGGGGGTGGGGAGTAATCTAGCCATTCCTTTATAGGCCATTCCCAGCTAACAGCCAGGTTCCTCCAGCCCTGCCCTCTCTTCTCCTACTCTTGTGACTGGACAAATCTTTCCTAAACAAGGAAGCGTTATGTAACGTATCTGAAATTCAAAAAGGTAAAGCTAAAAGGACAAAGCAGGAAGGCAAGGGGATGTTTGTGATAGAGCTTTGTTAGATAAAAAGCTAGGAGACGCAGAATCTCATTTAAGCAGTACCTTTCTGATGAAAACAAAAAACCACAGCCATCTTAAATTTTGCATAGTGAAGCCACCCTCACAGACAAAAAATCTAGCACTCAGGAGGCCTGATGGCATGTATTACCTGTCATATCCTGCTGTTAGTATCAGAATTGTCAGTACAGAGCCAATTCTGATTGTGTCCTGTTTTCTCATTCTGACTACACTTATAATACTAATACTTAATCTTGGCTAAAATGGAAAACCCTGAACTCTGGTTGAGCAACCTGGCTGTATGCCAGGCTTGTTGTGAACTCTAGCCCCTTATTCACCCCTTCCCTGGGTGGAATTCCCAGATGAAATTCACCTTCCTCCGTTTAGGGATTATATTTATATTTTCTTCTAGAGAAGATCATCCATACATGAGCCAAAAGACATCAATGGCTAAATATCTGACATACAGAAAATGGATATATATGAGTTTTCTTGCCTTACACCTTTCTTTGACTGGGTGACTCAGTAAGCCTTCTGGGTTTTTTTAGACTGGAGTTTGAAGAAATTTCCAGATGAGATCAGATTACTGATTAAACTTGTGTCCATCTGTTGACCCTGCTAGACCATGCAAAGCAGTCTTGCTAATACTTCAGGCTCTGCCAGAAAAATCTACACCAAATGCTTTGGGCCATGTAGATTTTGCTGTGTCATGGAATGATAGGGTTCCTTCCCATGTTGCATAATGAAACAAGTTTAAAAAGATACCCTTTAAGATACCTGCTCTATTTCTTTGATCACCAAGGACACAGCTTTCTATTTGGTGATGACATATTCCAGTAGGTAATAAATGAGGTCATGCTTTCACCTCTCATTATTTAATAGTGGGTGAGACCCAGCTTCTGACTCTCTCTTTAATTAAAGGGATTTTAATGAAGGAAGGGCAGCTCTATAGCCTCTCTCTTTTTTCCTTTAAAGGTTTTATATATTTTTAGAGGGAGGGAGAAAAAGAGAGAGAGAAACACTGATTGGTTGCCTCTCACTTGTGCCCCAACTGGGGACTGAACCTACAAGCCAGACATGAGTCCTGACCAGGAATCACACCAGCAGCCTTTCAGTTCACAGGCCGGCACTCAGTCCACTGAGCCACACCAGCCAGGGCTGCAGTTAGGGTTTTATGCAGTTGCCCAAGTTCTGTCACATACATAATTTCATATGATTCTAAGATATCTGGTAATGCAGGAGGTTGACATATTATTTTACTGTGTAGCTAGAAAAGACTGACATTCAGAGTGTTGGAATAAGTTACTTAAGGGACATAGGTGTCAAATTTGGGATTTGAACCTAGATTTTTTCTAAATCTCTAAATAGTGTTCTTTTTTCCTAACACTTTAAAAACAAAACAAAAAAACACTGAGCCACTCAGGCCTTTCTATATCAACTAGGGTTCTGTTAAAAAGTTAGTCAGAGGTAATTGGTCAGCTCAGACATATTATTTAAATCCTTCGTCTACTAAAAATTGTCTCTTTCTTGGACTAACTTGGGAGGTAGGCAGCATTGGGTGGCAGGTAGTAGCTTAAGGGATGCTTGATTTCACTGTTTGTGAATAGCTAGTATTTAGTAGTAAAGGAGGAGCGTGTGAGGTCCACATAATGTCAGCTAGGTAGTTCCTTAGGGAACCGGAGACAGGGAGAGTTAGGCAGTGAGAGGCCCCTTAGTTTCCAGCTGTTCACTGTAAGCAACCTAACTCTTGGTCTTAGTTATCAAGGAGGGGGACTACTCTAGAAGGAGAGAGCTTCGAGTTCCCTTGTAGAATGGGTGCTTTCTTGGCTGCAGTCTGATCTCAGGCGACAGGGCTTGAGCTTTCACAGGATGGAAATGGAGGTGTTTGTTCATTCTTAACTGTTACTGTTTCCCCCCTGCAGTGGGCGACCTTGAGAATGGAGAGAGGAGCCAAAGAGAAGAACCACCAACTCTACAAACCTTATACCAATGGTAAGACTGGGTCATGATCCTCATCTTAACAGGCTCATTTGAAATATTTTTCTGAATGCTTTTAATTCCACAGAGACTCTTCACTATATAAAAGCTGAGCTGTGTACTCTGAGTATGTTTAACATGTTTTCTTCCAGATTGACAGGATGTTCTCTTTTGCAGGAATTATTGCAAAAGATCCCACTTCACTAGAAGAAGAGATCAAAGAAATTCGTAGAAGCGGCAGCAGCAAGGCTCTGGATAATACTCCAGAGTTTGAGCTCTCTGACATTTTCTACTTTTGCCGGAAAGGAATGGAAACCATTATGGATGATGAGGTGACAAAGAGATTCTCAGCAGAGGAGTTGGAGTCCTGGAACCTGCTGAGTAGAACCAATTACAACTTCCACTACATCAGCCTCCGGCTCACTGTCTTATGGGGCTTAGGAGTGCTGATTCGGTATTGCTTCCTCCTGCCGCTCAGGTGAGGGCAGGGCCCAAGGGGGACAAAGGACTGGAGCTGTTGCTGCCTACACCCCTTGCATCATACACTTACCTGTGTCTCCCTGCCTTGGTTTCCCATTTTAAGAGGGACAGTATGGTTCTTCCATCAGCCAGTCCCTCTGACCCTTGGAAGGGAACACTGGTGATTGTCTTTTAGAGGCCCTGGGTTCTCTGTATATCAGACAGGAAGAGTTAGGTTTCTGAAGACAAACTGCTTGTCTAGATGGACTAAACACAGGGACAGGAGACATGTCCTTTCTCGCCACTCCTCCCTGGGCAGAGGTGACTCTCTCCTACTGCAGTACAGAAGCAGTATTGAGCCCTCATTCTTGCTGTACTGTTTGCTTTCTCAGTATGCCTTGTCAGATGCTAGTACCTTCCGGCTCTCCTTCCTATTGCTTCACAGAGAAGCTGTGCTTCTGCCAGGGCTTAAAGCCAAGGGGCAGGATAGGACAGGAGGTGCCTGAGGGCAGAACAGCCAGCCAGTGTTAGGCTTTTCCATCCTTTTGGCTACTTCATGCCTGAGGAGACAGGGTGACCTGAGACCCAGATCCATAGTAGCTGTTGGAATCAAAATGATCTCTGGTTCTGACAGGCCTGCTTGCATTTCTAGCTGGAACTCCCATCTAGGTCCTACGTGATCAGGTCTTGGGGGTGGTTTCATGATGCCCACTTCTCTTTTCGCACAGTGAATTCTATACATAGTGCAAGGATTTGTTTGCTGTGTTTTAATTTGTCTTCTCATTACAGGATAGCTCTCGCTTTCACGGGGATCAGCCTTCTGGTGGTGGGCACGACCATGGTGGGGTACTTGCCAAACGGGAGGTGAGTCGAGTGGGAGTGCCCCTGTCTGCAGGGCTCTGCAGTCGTGGCTCCGGCATTGGAAGGCCAGGCTGCTGCTCTGGGCGCAGCCAAACCGCAGACTCTTAGGTGGCTAAAATAACCCGGTGGTAACAGTGACATCAGCACTAAAGTCTTCTATTTTTACTGATCTTGACCTATGATTGTTCTTTTTGGCCTCCAACCCTCACACCCTTGCCATTTTAAAGACAAAAGGGAGAAACCACAAAACACTATAGAGTCCAAGGCTAGCAAATTTTACAGCATGTTGTTTAGTCTTGAGCATTCTGCCGTGTTGATAAATTGGTAAGAGGATAGGAAATGTAGGTAGGCCTTCTTTGTTTTGTTCTTTGAAGGAGAAATTTGCTCCCTTTGGGAAATTCTGGAGCAGGCCAACATCTCTTCTGCCTGGGCTAGTTAGGAGGTTGGTCTCTGGCCTTTGCCTTGCTTCTAGGTGTAGACTAGAAGGGAAAGGAATCTAGTAGACTCACCAGTGCAGGAAATTCTAGAGCTATGAGTTTTAAACCCATTTACTTATGTGAAGTTAAGCAGTTCTCATCATTGCTTTGTTTCCTCATGTGGGCACAAAGATGCTAATAAATTCCAGGGTTTTACCATATATATTTATATGGTAATATTTATAAAAATATTTTGCAATCATAAAGGACTGTAGGCTATGATTTTTAAATTGTTGGATTCAGGAACTTTTCCTGTCTTTCTCCATGTAAAATAAAACCAAAAATCGTTGTCCTGTTGTTGCAGGTTTAAGGAGTTCATGAGTAAACATGTTCACTTAATGTGTTACCGGATCTGCGTGCGAGCGCTGACAGCCATCATTACCTACCACGACAGGTGAGGCAACTTGGTACGATACAGAGGGAAGTGGCGCTGGCAGAACACAACCCGACTGCAGCTGGCCAGCAGGGCTCTTCTGAGCTTTCAGTTAGAGGCAGTGAAGCTGAGACGAGGGGATGAGTTCAGACGAATTGTTTCCCATGAACTTTTGTTGTTTTGCATACGTCCTATACAGGAAAAACAGGCCTAGAAATGGTGGCATCTGTGTGGCCAATCATACCTCTCCTATTGACGTCATCATTTTGGCCAGTGATGGCTATTATGCCATGGTAAGACTTCTTTCTGTTGCTTTCTTGGGGCAAGACTTCTCACTTTTAGAGACTAGTCGGGGCTGGGAGGCTTCCGGACCCTTTGCTGAGCTCTTTGTTAAGGGTATGAACAGGTAAACATGTTTTTATGTCTGGTCCCCAGCCTAGATTTTTGCCTTTGTTTCTGTTGCTTTTGAGATCTCCATGGGACTTTAATAGCAAATATTCTGAGCAGAGTAACTGGAAGTGTGGTTGGAGATTAGACTTCGGATGTTTAGTCGGCATGGAAAGGGGTGAAGATAAGGATTTGAAAGGACTGGTTCATGGGCATTGGCGAATCTGCTGAGGGGGGGAACATTTTTACACATGGTATTGTTCCGTTTCATTATCTCATTTTAGAGTTTTCAGCTGTGTTTTTAATTACATCTCTCTGATATCACCAATTAAAAAGGTAAATTTAAGATTCAGGGTTTCTTAGTAGTGAGAAAGCTGTGGTTAGCAATGGAGTGAGAGAAGTAGGAGCGCTTATCTTGTGGGACCTGGGCCTTTCTCCCCAGAGTGGGGCATTTGTGTGAGGGTGGCTTCACTACCAGTTACTCCCTTGTCTGAGTTCAGGTGGGTCAAGCACACGGGGGACTCATGGGTGTGATTCAGAGAGCCATGGTGAAGGCCTGCCCTCACGTCTGGTTTGAGCGCTCTGAGGTGAAAGATCGCCACCTGGTGGCTAAAAGGTAAACCGACAAAATGCTATTGTTCTATATGATGAGTTACAGAAAAAGCATGCATTTTAGAGGTTGTTATCCCGCCACAGTGAAATTATAGTGTCTTCAACACTGAGCCTATACTACTTTCATCATCATCATATTTTTTCTAAAACATGGAATATGAAAAGTATAGAAACACTGTTATTTACCAAGTTAGTAGTGTTTCTAAACCTTTCTTATTTCTTGTACCCATTATAACAAACAACATGTGGACTTTTAATGCTATTTGAAATCTCAAAATCAATGTATATCAAAAATAAAAACAAACTTAAGGTAGTGTAACAAAGTGCTGCTCTCTTTTCAAGCTTGAAAAAAGGATAAATCGTGCAAGTAACGGTACAAGAATTGCAGTATAATGGAAAGGAATCCAGATCCAGCTAAAACCATCTTCTATAAGGACAGATGAACCTGCCATCAGCCCCTTTGCTGCATCTCTCAGGGACAGAGTATAAAGCCAGGTCTACTGTAGGTCCCACCCAGCAAGGCTATTAGGAAGTTTGGTAGCAAGTGTTTATTAAGGATGCTCTTCGCAAGCCCCTGTGGCAGGTCTGTCCTGAGGATAGTTCCAAGTCTGAGCAATGTCTTCGGTATACAGACATTTACACTTGATTGAGTAACTGTATGAATTAAACAGCGGATTTTCCCTGTCCTTTTAAATTTTGTCTTTGTGAGATTTAGACTTGGGGTTTATAAAAGACAGGTCATATTTGTTCACTTGTTTTTATACAACACCTAGTATCACATCTATGTAGGTTATTTATAAATGCATTTTGGTGCTGATGAACATAAAGCTGTCTGACCCTTTGTTTTATTTTTCTTCTAAAGACTGAGTGAGCACGTGCAGGATAAAAGCAAGCTACCTATCCTCATCTTCCCAGAGGGTAAGAAGGTGTTGATTGCCACAGAGCTTCTGTGGGGAGGCTGTGCCTCAGAACCAGGTTCCTCAGCCTTTCTTGGGGTTGTCTGTTTTCACTGGATGATGTTTGGTCCCTTTAGATTGGTTGTGGGGCTAAAAACTCATAGAAACTTAGACATTGGACTGAGTGCCATAGTGTGAACTTCAACACAGGAATCCCTTTTCTAGTTTGCTGACAGGGTCTTTCAGCTTCTTACAGAGTTCTCACTGAAACCTGTTACGTCTGCTGAGTGTCCTCGGCCTTTTATCTAGGCTGGCATGTGTTAATCAGGAATGTGGTCCTGTGATAAGAGAATAGGAAGCAGATGAATATTTTGCTCATTTCTCTTAAGTGTTCATTCATAAGCTAGTGAGATGACAGATTTACCCTGTTTGAAGAGTCATTAGAATAATTATTATATGTAGTCCTTAAACTCCTAATTTCTGGGGCAAAAGACCAAAAGAAATAGCATTTTATTCTCTCTTGCATTTTAGGAACCTGCATCAATAATACATCAGTGATGATGTTCAAAAAGGGAAGTTTTGAAATTGGAGCCACAGTTTACCCAGTTGCTATCAAGGTACAAGTCCTCCGAGGGTAATTGGTCATGGTGGCTGCTGCCACGAACTGGATGCAGCAAGAGAAGATGGAGGAAGGAGCTGGTGTCACTATCAGTGGGTGGATCCTCTCCAGCAGAGCAGCCGAGGGCTGGGCTGGTGTGGGTCAAGTGCTTAGGAGAATGTGACATTGTTCATAACATGTGAGAAGGAACTGGGAGTATTGTAACGTGAAACAGCCAGATTCCAACCCACAGCTCCCCACCTCCACCAGATTCGGGAAGTGGAGAATGCTTTTTGAGCTTTGTACATTTCTCTGCACTTATTTCCTCTGTCTTCATAAACTTAGCTGGAATGTAAGGTGTTCCACCTGGAGAGGTGGCTTAGGCTGGGAGTGGGTGGCTGCCCAGCTGGGTTTGTGTATTTGGTGGGGAGGCACAGATGTGTCCTTAGTATTGAAGGAAGAAAGAGCTGCACTGATTTGGACTGTCGTCTCATCTGTGTACTGAGGACCCCCTATAAAAGTGAAATGGATCTTACAAGTTTGCCTAGTCTATTCTCCTACCTTTCAGGAAATTGTGCTTCTAACTGTCCAAACTCACCTAAAGAGATTGGTTCAGTTAGCCAGTCAAGTTTCCCTTTTTTTCTCCTTCCTCCGTCTCCCCCTTCACATTTATCTATTTTATAAATTCATAGTATTATTTCCAAAAGTTTGCTTTTACATTATTCTAAAAAGTGCAGGCTGTTGTTCAGTATGTTTAAAGTATTTAGGTTGAAATCAGGGTAAAACAGTGAGTAAATTTGAGCTGTGCTTAGAATTTAGTCTCCATACGTTTGCAAGGGTTTGTTGTCTGCAGAGCATTCTGTAGAAATATTTCTTATTTTCATCTTGCCAACATAGCTGGTGTGGTAGGAGGGTAGGAGTGGGAGATGCTCCTCTTGGTTGAGCAAAGGCTTACCAGTCCCTCCCCTTTCACCAGTGGGGAAAGCACCAGGGCAGGGATGGCCAGTGAATATGCATGCAGGGTTACTGATCCATGGGTCAGGGCCGCTTGAGAGATTTGTGGGGGATGCTGTGATGTTGTGTCTGGGAACCGCAAGAAAGAAAACAGTCTGAGTTGTGTGCTGTGGGTGTAGGGATGGGGAGTGGCGTTTGTGCCACATGCACACCGTCCTGCATTTTAATGTACTGAGAGTCCACTGCTTCCCCATATGTATTTATTAAAAACAAACTTAAGGCCCTCCTTGCTCACTCCGCAGCATTGGCTCTTGGGTCTTAGCCACATCAGCAGCACCTGGGCGGATTGTGCAAGTGCAGGTGACGGGGCTTGCGTTTCCAGGCCACTCCTGGGTGGGCTGATGCTGCTGGTCAGGAGCCACACTGTGCGAACCCTTCCTGGAGCAGAGGCTTCACTAGTTTTGGAACCTAGGCTCTTGGGCAGTTTTGACTCCTCTCCAAAGGAAAAGACATGCAAATTTTATGTATAATTTCATTCCATTCACAAATTAAAGCTCACATAAGATTAAGAACTGCTCCACAGATACTTTTCTAGTTTTTAGGAAGATTTTGGTAACCAAACTTGGATAACGTCAGCAATTTCATGACTCTTTTTACTACATTTCCACCAGAATTGTCGTTACCTGATTTTGAGTAATTGATGTTCTGAGCTTTCTGCCTTGTTTTTTTCACTGTAGGGATCTGCCCAGCATGGGGTACAGAATTAGCCCTCAACTAGGGACCCTCACTCTCTTACACGTACCACATTTTTTAATCTATATAGTGCTTTACAAAATAGAGCAATACTTTCTTCAATTCGTATACTTAGCTTCTGTTTAAAACTCATTCTTCTCCCTTATTTCCTTTTAATATTATAATGTGAACTCCTTAAGCCTTCTATAGTTATATCTAAATTTCTTAGTTTCTGTAATTAATCTACATGTCTTCATTTCAGTAGTGAGTTTCTCAACTACACATAAATATCCTGGTCCTACTCTGAGAATTACAGAATTCAGGCTTGAAAGGCCAAATAGATGATATAGGTCAGACCTACCCACCGCCTCGAGTGGGAGGGTCCTCCCCACCCGCCTCCCGCCTGTGATCCTCTGCAGCCCTTCCGAGCTGGGGCCTTGTCCCCGCTGGTGCAGTCTGCGCCCATGGCACAAGTCTCGAAAATCCATCTCTTGGTTTTATCACTCTCTGGTCCTAGCTAGATCTTTGCTTTATAACTACACAAAGTCAGTCCAGTGGCTTGTAATGACAGCCTTTCAAAGATTTGATAACAGTCCCATGACGCTTTGTCCAGGGCCTTCCCCACCATGCTTACCTGCCACTTAAATTATTCTTCTGTTTGGTGAGAATGAGGTTCACAGCTTTGGCCACATTTCCCACAAAATGCCATTGAAGTACAGCCCTTCCCTCCATTAGAGTCTTCAGCAAACAAAAGGATCTGATAAGCCTGCTTCGTGGCCGGAAGTGCAGCACCATGTGGTGAAGACTGTGCTGTCTACTGTGTGTCCACTCAGTAAAGAGCACTGTGTTTAATCAAAGCAAAGCCTCCTGCTTAAACAGGTCATTAGCTTTGTTAGAAGCATAATTACAGAAGCATATTATCAGCTTTCTGATCATTTTTGGTCTGAGGCACTAGAAATGGTATTTAAAGGTTGGTAGTTATGTAGGAAAAATGTCTTTATTTGGAGGAGGTACATGTATTTATGACTTAATAGCATGAAGTAAGTAAGGTTTATAAGAGGGGCAGGGGGTAGATGAAGCAAGTATAGTGAAATGTTGCTAATTATTGAATCTGGGGAATAGGTGTATGGGAGTATATTAGCCTATTCTCTGTTTCTGGATATGCTTGAAAACTTAAGTAATAGGATATATGTACCGATAAGTGAGCAAGAGGGAGGGCACGTGCTTGCAGAAGGCTCTCCTCCCCAAGGATGTGTGGCAGTATTTTGGTTCGGTCAGGGGACGTTAATGTTTCTGGAGGCCAGAGCTGCCGGGGTGTAGCATTACTTCAGAAGTGTGCGTGGAGGGAGGTCTGGAGACATCTTTGTATTCCTGGCACTGCCCCAGGGGATGCATTCATTGCTAGAAGTGCTGACTCCTTACCATCAGCTTTCCGCTGTTTTTCAGTATGACCCTCAATTCGGTGATGCCTTCTTCAACAGCAGCAAATACGGGATGGTGACATACCTGCTGAGAATGATGACCAGCTGGGCCATTGTCTGCAGTGTCTGGTACCTGCCTCCCATGACCAGAGAAGTAGGTACCCCAGCACACAGAGCTCTTCTTCCCTTAGTTCTCTTTGACCAGGAGCCTGGGTTAAGTGGTCTTGTTCACTTTTTTACAGACAGATGAAGATGCCGTCCAGTTTGCGAACAGGGTGAAATCTGCCATTGCCAGACAAGGAGGACTCGTGGACCTACTGTGGTGAGTCAGAGCCAGATCTTGTCAGCGGAGTCTAGGAGAACATGAATTTCTGAAGGAAATGCTAAATTGTTGACCCCAATTACAAAGATTCCTCCTCTCCCTGGTGTAGAGAATGCAGCTCACCAGCCCTGGAGAGTGAGCAGTTTGGCTGCTTTCTCCCAGTTCCAACTCAGAAGTGCCCGCTGTTAACTTGATCTCAGGGAACCTGGAGCCCAGGATGCTGGAGCTAAACCTCTCTGGGTTTTGTACCAGTCTGCCGGGGCATCCAAGCCGTCCTTGACTCTTCAGGGAGAGGGGCCCTGATGCTGATCTGGAAGCCTCATAGGAGTACTGGGCTCTCTGATCACATATATTTGGCAAAATTGAATCATCTTTAGAAAGACCATAGTTTCTTATTTTTGCATTTAGAGTGTCACCGACTAGAGCAGGAATGGGCAAACTTTCTCTGTAGAGTTAGTGGATATTCTAGACATTGTGGACCATGTGGCATCTGTTGCAGCTGCTTAACTTTGCCTTTATAGCATAAAAGCAAATAATAGAGGCAACACATAAACAAATGAGTGTGTGTGTTCCAGGAAAACTTCATTTACAAAAATAGGGGTCAGATGGATTTGGCCCACGGTCGTAGTTTGCAGACCCTGACGCTTGAGTGAGAGAGTTGGACACCAGCTACAGGAGAGGGGTGGGAGTGAACGCCGGACCAGGGAAGCTGTTCCAGCATCTTAGGCTCCCTCGAGTTTAAGCACAAAGGTCGGCTCTGGAGGACGTTGGACTGACGTGGGCATTGTGGGGAGAGTGTGGAAGTTCACCTTTTAAACTGCCCTGTGGCTTCCAAGGTAATAGCATGGCCCTCAGTCACACTGACACTATGCTACTGGTGCTCTGTGGGGCGATCTCATTCCATCCTCAAGTTAGTCCATGAAACATGGTAATTGTTACTCCCATTTTTCAGATGACAGACTGAAACTCAGAGAGGTTAGGTAACTGCTTTTCAAAGTAACAGGATAAACACTGGGGCCAGATTTTGAACTCAGGTCTGATGTTAGTTCAGGCTCCCGTCATTCCATACTCACGAGTTCAGACACGAGTATGGAAGTGGAGTGTTTATCCCCTGCCCCACATTCCCTCTCCCTGAGGCCTCGTGAAGACCGGGTGGCTACTTTGAAAGGGTGCCCTTGCTGTGGATTTACAAGGGCATAGCACATGTCAGGTCTTCCAGGATAGTCTGCCCAGCAACTGGGCTTCATCAGGTCCCTTTCCACTGCTACCACCTCTGTAACTCAAAAGGGGAGGCGGGTAAAGGACGGAAAGTGGGTGTGGACTTTCATTACTCATTGAAGATGATGATAATTCTAGGATGGAAGCAAAGAGTTGGGGTGATAGGTGGGTGGGAGCAAATCCAAGTGTAGAGGATTTATTTGGGGACATGGAGGGAAGTGCTGGGATTCACACGTAAGAACATGCGTTTCCCTTGTGTTTATTGTTTGCATGAATTTGGAAAATCCTTCAGTCTGAACTCTACAGATGTTCTTTCACAAATCCATTTTATAGATTATTATAAATCTCAATATTTCTTGAAGCTTGGTTCACTTTCCATAATGTCAGAATACCTCCTTTATCTTTTGTGAGGGGTAGAAAGAATTTTAAACTCCTTGGTAGGTGTAAGCAATTACAGAGGACCTTGAACATGAGCAGTGAATTCTGACTCAGGGCAGGAGTGAGAGTTTTAAGGTAGGAAGGGTGGGTTCCGGGGGTCCAGGACCCCCGAACTCATCCTGATGGGGGAGCCACGGAGGACCTCTGTTTCTGGCATGTTTTTCCTGGGTTCGAGCTGCAGGGAGCATCTGGCTATGACAATGGGGGACGGGCAGCTTTCTTCACTCTTAATGCAGCCTTCCTCTCCCAGGGACGGTGGCCTGAAGAGGGAGAAGGTGAAGGATGCGTTCAAGGAGGAGCAGCAGAAGCTGTACAGCAAGATGATTGTCGGGAACCATGAGGACAGGAGCCGGTCCTGAGCCCGTGCCTCTCACTGCTGGAGCCACCGTGCCGAATCCTGACACGGGGGCCAGTGGGGGTCCTTGCCGCTGCCCACCACTGCTGCACTCTTTCCAGGCTCCAGCCTTCGGGCTGCTGTGGATCCCAGGACGTCAGCTTCCTCAGAGCCACCCCGGATCCCTGGGCTTGCCGTCTGACGTGAGCGCTGCGGGGTGTTGCTGCCCAGGACAAGATGACTTCTTGTTTCTTTTACAATAAGTCCATTGGAGGAATGCCATTAAAGTCAACTCTCCGCCTGCGCACAGAAGGGGCTGAGTGGTTGGGAAGAATTGGTTATGGTCCCATGCTCCGGCCAGTAGGACGTTGGTCTGTTACAGATGCCCACGTGCCAGGGACTTGGCTGGGGGAGGCCACCTGCTGGCAAGGAGCAGCACTGCAAGGCAGTGTGGCCTGCCAGCCTGAACACCGCCCCAGCCTTGGACTTGTCCCGCAGAGGCTTTCAGCAGAATGAAGCTCCCAATTCTCATGCAGTCACCAAGGGGGAGGGAAAGAGGCAAGACGGACCAGTGACTAGTGCTTGGTGGGAACCAAGAGTCATTCCACATTCCAACTCCAGTGTTCACCTCAGACTCCCATGTGACTTGCTCTTTGTTAACACGTGCCTCAGTTTCCCCATCTGTAACCTGGATCAGGACGGGGAAGGGTGGTGATACCTACCTCACAGGGTTGTTGTGGGGATTGAAGTGCTACTCCTAGGGAAGGACAGTGGAGCTCAGTGTTCCAAGTACAGGCCCCTGAGTTGCGGCAGGACAAGGTCTGAGCTCTGAGCTGCTGCCCAGGGCTTGGGAGTGGTTTTGTGAGTAAATAAAATTGTCTTTGATGGTGAATGAATAGAGAGATTTTTCCCTTCACTCTTTCTCCCCTAGATGTTGCCCTAAGCAACCTGTTTCTTATCAAAGTTACCAACAGTAACCTTGGGGCTAGAGGGTATCTGTCTGACTTCCGTTATGAGAAATAGTATTGTTCAGGGAAGGTGAAGTACTCGTATCAAATGTGTGCTCGCCTCTCCCTCTGGGTAATTTAGAATCCCTGGCATGGACGAAGATGTGGATTTCCACACAGACGGCTGCCGGGGATGAGCGGTGTGTGATGGGGGCACTGTTGGTTCAGGTGGAGGGGAGGGTGCCAGATGGCAGGGGCCGTCTGAAGACAGCAGGGACCCCCGAGGGAACGCAGGGCAAGGCAGGAGCTGAGGCCCTGAAGGGTGAGTGAGGCGGCCGGATTGGCAATGAGTGGTGCCCTGGGGGCCTCCACACAGCCAGAGGGAAACTGCGGACCTCGTGGCCTCCTGTGCCCACCTGCAGTCACTGAGGGCAGGTCTGAAGCCAAGCCGTTCGCAGCTTCTTGCTTCTAGGGTCCACCAGCTTCAAATCCCTCCGAAGAGAGTTGCCTCATTTCTACCATTTATCCACCTCTCTTCCCCTCCCCCGCCCCCCTTCTGCATGGCACAGTCGGCACACCTTGCAGGATTTTGTGCCAGCCATGGTAAGTGTCACCTCTCTGAGCCACGCTCCAGACTGCGATCTCGGGGCTGGGAACGAAGCCCGGCTCCGGAGGCCCCACGTGGGCCGCGCTTCCCCCTGCCTGACCTCGGCGTGCCTCCTGCCCCGGCGGCCTCTGTGCGGCCTCGCCTGCCCGGGTAGCTTCCGTTTTCTCTGACCTGCCAACCAGTGAGAAATTTTCCTCTCAAAAACACTATTAAGACAAAGAACAGCCTCTCAAGAACTGTTTTACAGAGTAGTCAAGAGTAAGCAGGGATTATCAGGCTTTATAAGAAGTATTTACAGTGTTTTAAAGCTGTCTGGGATGATCTTTAAAAATTGATTTTGAAGGCCAAGGTTCCTTTTTAAACTCCCTTTTTAAAAAAAGCCACCTACTGATTAGTACATGGTTTACATAGGTATTTAACATTTTTATGTCTCACTTTTCAACAAAGCTTTCTGCTGATGACATCACAGAGTGTTACAACAACCTGGTGTAGAGTCACTGCTCTGTAAAGAAATACTGTGGAGACAAAGCAGTGATTGTTTTCCTCTGTTACTAAGGGGAGGGCATATGAATGACAGCCCACCCTCTGAAAAAAATTCTCTAAAATTTTAATTTAGTACTTGGGGCAAGCACGCAGACTCATCCAACTGCGCCCTCATCTTAATGGGGACCCTGCCAACCAGAATACTTGGTTTGGGATAACTGAGTTGGTCTTGTGCGGTACAACGTCATGGCCCTTGGGGATAACACCAGAGAAGCGTGTGAGATGCAAAATGCGCTCGCTCCTGTGATCCCTGCAGCGGCAAAGGTGCTCTCGGTGAAGCCAAGTGGTCTGACGTGTGGCATAGCACTGGCCAGTTTCTAATGTCACTTCCAAACCTGCTACATCTCCTTTGCTGTTTTGACTGTATTTCTCTCTGACTATTCCTTTATCCAGAATGAAGCCCTTTTCATCTCGGCAATTTCTGTATGTTTTAAATTCATAGTTCAAACTTTGGCTTTAAGTTCTTAAGTTTATCAGGTTCAGAAATAAGTCAGTTTAAAACAGTTTGCCTCCTTCAGAACAGTGGGGTTCATGAAACTCAGTTCCACGAGAGGGTGTCCCGCATGTGAAGCAGAGTCCCTGGCGTTGTAGGTGACTGTGGGCAGGGGTGGGTTTGATTCTGGGTCTTGGAAAGAATTTTTCCCTCAAACAGATTTTTTTTTCCAGTCAGTGAGAGAAGGCACTTGCTAAAAAGACTAGTAAAATTCCCTGGCCAGCAGAAGCTCAATAGAAGACTGTCGGCCAGGCCAGCGCTCAGCACACTAAGCTTGATGGAGCAGTTTGGGATGACAGCCTTGTGACACCGTAGAAACAACTTTGGAACTTGGCTCTTGACTGCATCAGACCGCATTCCCTGCTGGTTCCCTTCGCAGATTGAAATCGGCTTGATGGGAGGGGTGGGGAGTGCCCCACAGAGCCCCGAGTGCCCGGACCAGGCCAGTGCCACGTCCCCGGGCACCGTCCGGCCGCAGCCCTTCACAGCGGCACCCTGCCAGTGCTGGGCTCTTGCCCTGCGGGAGAGTCTTCTGGGACTACAGACCCGGCCTTTTCCTTCCTGGAACCGACCAAAAAGATGATCTGAGGAATCGTACTTCCCATGGTTCCTGATGCGTGAGAGTCCCCTGTGTCATAGGTCCCCACCTGCTGTTGTGCGTCTAGGGTGGCCAGACTCAGTTTCTCCGGTTGCGCTCGCCCGTGTGGCCTGCGACGTTGGGGCTGAAAGGGCAGCTGCATGCACACTGACTCCTGGACAGGTTAAGAGACGACCATCCGGCCATCCATCTTCCATCGCATAACACCCCCTCTCCCCCCAGTCAATATGTCTCTCTCCGATGGGAAAGTTAATAAATTTTGCTCTAGATTAAAAGTATTGATCATTTCATTTGTAAACGATAAATAAAAAAGGGGAACTTTTCATTGCACCAGGGGTAGCGTCTGGTGTATTTTGCTGGTGAAATTGCGCTGGCTGTCGGGGGTGGGCTTCTCATATGCATTCTGGCTGGCCAGCTGCATTGATTTCCTATTAGTCTCCCAGCACCACCCAGTAACACATCATTTCAGTACCGGCTATTAATGGTCTTTTGATAAATAATCACTTGTAAGTCAATAAATTTTTATTAAACAGTGTGGCTCTTTGATTTATTAAAATCCGACCATGTTTGTCTGGGAGAAAAGGGATGCTGAATTGAAGTGGAGGTTTTCATACATCTTCCTGACGCTGAGCAGTCACCGCACACTCCAGAGAAAAACAATTGCATTTTAACAGAAACAAAACAGCCGAGTTTGGAACTTGGACCCGGGGAAACTTTATCTCCGTCAGTCTGAGGCTGACTCTACAGGGAGCAGCGGGCCGGAGGGCGCCGTGTCAAGAACTTTGTGTTGGCTTCTGAGAGCGGTGAGGTCCCCAGGCCACCCCCTGCCCCCCGTCAGTTGCCTTCTGGGTAGCACAGACCCTACCTGGGCAGCAGATGGGTCCACCGGCCAGCCCTGCCCCGGCTGAGAGGTGCGCCCTGGTGATGGCACCTTTGGCAAGTAAACATTTGAGATCCGTGAGACGAATGGGACTGCAGGACCTTGTAGCTTCCTGACCAAATCACCAAAGTGACATCTTGTGGCAGGAACTGCCAAGAGATGGACTATGTTATGTCATGTGGAAATTTCGGCTGTATGGATTATTTTGAGAAGTGAGCCAACACACACAGATTGGAAAAAAGATTGGGAATCTTTTTTGTGAGACTGTCATTGGCATAAAATAGGCTGTAAAGGTTTTGACACGTTTTCATCGAGACTAAGAGGGCCCCAAGCATGAATACAGAGTGGCCCGAGCAGTAGCTACAGAGGCAGAATTCCCAGAGGGAGGTCTGAGAAAGGGAAGAACCCTGGCTAGTAAAGTATTTACTGAAGCTAACATGAGCTGGAACTCCTCCTCGGCCTTGCCTTTTTTCAGGCCACCGCCAATGACTTCCATTCCTACTTAGTGCGACAGGAGGGCCTTCTGAGTGGGGATGGCTAGTAAGTTCAGCTGAGAGGCTTTGATGTCCAACATTTCATGTTATTAAATGTTTAAATTGCATTTTAAAATCCAGTGGTTTAGACCTGCTGCAAGGTTTCTGTGTTGTTGCTTGGAGCTCCTTTTTTGTCCTGGTCTTGCGGGGTGAAAGCCGCCGTGTCAGGGGACCTGGAAGGGGAACGGGAAGCTGGAGAGCAGAAAACAAACCTGTGACTGTCTGCCCAGCAGGTGAGTGCTAACACAGAAGTTTTCTCAGAGCTTGGCCTATCCTGTCCCAGCGCACAAGGAGTAGGTTGAGGGCCAGCTTTTTGTCCACAGAGATCTGAGGCTTGTGCCTAAGGCTCGAACTGCACCTCCACCCCGGGGTGGGGCGGTGGTGCACCCAGGACAGCACAGCTTTCTAAAAGGTGAATCGCATTAACTAGGTCTGCACTTTGCACAAGCAAAATTCAAGTCCACTTTCAAGGTTAAGCAGGAGACTTGTGTGGCTTTCACTTGGGGCTTTACCTCTAGCCTTTGTTCATTCTTCACCGCGTCACTTCCCCTGCGCATGTTCATCCTGCTTTGTTAGAACGTGGGCAGGGAAGTTGGCATCATCTTAGAGTTTCTTGCACTCCGTGAGTTCACTTCCAATGATTCCGAGTCAAGTACATGAAACTGTGGGAGAGGAGGGACTTGCTGTGCAGCTTTCATGATAGCTGCTGGTGGGGAGGGTGGGGCAAGGGGCGAGAGCTTGGCACAATAGAGTTACACGGGGCATTTGGGCCACCATCCAGCAGGTAGGTCCCTGCACCTCCTGTAGGTATAGCCAGGCCACAGGAGGCTGAGGGAAGGTGGAGGCTGAGAGGCTCTGTCTCCCTTGGGAGTAAGCGTGCAGATCTGAAGCTTCCAGAATGGAGGACCTGGTGATTCTAGAGAGCTATGGCTATTTCCTTCTGTTGACCCCACAGCTCCCAAAATGCATTTTCATTGCATTTGAACCCCTCCACATACTGCAGACTCAGCTCTGAAGGGCTGCAAATGAGGTCAGAAGAAGGTTAGCTGATGCTTTTCCATCTGATCTCATCCAGAATTCTAGGCCAAGGTGTTCTTCGGTTCACCTTGCTCCTCCCGCCCTGTTTTCAGGGTCTCAACAGACGCTTTCCTCCCTAGCTCCTAGCTTGAGGAGCAGCTCTGCAGGAGTGGCCGGGGAGGTGCCCAGCGTCTTGGGGTCCCTGGTTCCTGCTGCCTCGGCAGTGGGCTCGGGGAAGGGCTGCTTGCACTCAGATTGATCCACCAGCTGTGATTTGTCATTTCTCCAAGGCAGGCGCTGTTTTCTCTTGCTTCAGGAGGCCCCTTCGACACCTGCTTTATTTTTCTTCCTGCGCTGACGTGACGGGAGACAGGTGTTAAACTACTTAATCACTTTAAAATTGTTTTAATTTTCTGTTTTTTATTGATCTCTCCAGCACCAATTAATCAGCTCACTGGACCAGGCAGTTAGTACATTAAAAATTGTCAGGGAGGCCGTGCATCTTGCAAAATGTCT